AGGCGCAAACTACCAAAATAAATCTCTCCGGGGGCCGTTATGGTATGTTGTGTACACCTTCTGGTGCAATGAAACACGTTTCATTTTCCGATCGCTGCGGAGAATGCAGTGCGGCGCCTGGTTTGAAGTCACCCACACAGACACTCTGAGCGCCCCAGTTTCCACCCCCCAGTTATGTTGCACTTATCAACGTGATACTGACACCTGCAACACTCACACACAAAAGCTGAATTGTTTGCATCTAACCACGTGGAAAGAACTCACTTCACCAAATCCTGTGTAATATTCAGTATTACTGTATTTTATATATATAATAATAATAATAATAATAATCCTTGCATTTGATATAGCGCTTTTCACGTCGGGAGGACGTCCCAAAGCGCTTCACAGAATATACTGTAAAGTGAATTGACTGTATATTTGTGGGCGAACGCGGCAGCCAATTGCGCACAGCAATGTCCCACAAACAGTCGTGGATTGAAAATGACCAATTTATTATTGTTTTGTTTTGGAGGGAGATATAGGTAGAGAGAGAGAGAGAGAGGATAAACGTTTTGCCGACAATTAAAAATAACTAATGAAAGGGCAATTCAATGTAGGACAGCTAGGTATCTTTTTCTAAAAAAAAACCTTGGAAAGAAACTTTGAGAAGTTGCCTTGGCACTGGTTACTGCAACGTTGAGTTGACCTCAGAGTGAAATGATCTGCTTGAGGTGCTCTTGTATTGCTTCTTAATAATTGGGTTATATTGTGAACTTGTGGATACATCAGCACAGAAATCTGTAGCGTATATTGTACCTGTGAAGTGGCAACCAATCTGTTTTTGAACTAAATCCCAGGTGGGTCGGATGAACCCCTCCCTCCTTTCCCAATTTCTTTACATATCTTGGTGACTAAATTCCACCCAGTCTCAGCCGGTTTTTGTCTTAAAATTTAAGATTCAAGAGAGGATTAAATATTTCAAAGAAAAAAGGGCCTTCGAAAACCTTCGGTCAGTCTTGGACCGGAATCCAGTTTGCCCAGTGCTTAACACAAAATGAAACCGACTTCGGAATCAAGACTCGATTTAGGAATCTTCCACAAGTAAATCTTAGAATTGAAAACAAAATGGCCTCACAGGCTAAGATGAGGCAGAATTTTAGGCCTCATGAGATGGATCTTTGCAATGAGGGCAGCAGGTCACTTGGGCTGGTTTGATAAGCCTTCATCTCCAAATGGAAGCAAAGGATATCTACTTTCAGCTGGTACTGGTCTCAAACTGGGACCTGGAGTACAAGTGGTCCTGTCCGCCTGATCAGGTGGATGTTGAAGGTCCCAGGACACTATCTGACTTTATTTTGGTGTTTCAGTCCAGAGAGAGAGAGAATAAATTGATCATTCACGTCATAGCTGTTCGTGGACGTCGCTGTTGCATTGGCTGGATTCAGGTTTAAACTGAGTGTAGTGATTGTGTGTTTGGAGGCAAATTGTACCACTGTAAAGAACACATCCCAAACCCATCCTGTGTGGCTTTGCTGTCAGCATTTGTAAGTTTCCCCTTCATTATCAATCCCATTCGTGTGCTGAACAGTTCCCTCAACTGGGTGTTGTGCTGGTTTATGAGAAGCTGATGGGAATTATTTAAGTGTTCAGACTCCAGCAGTTATCCCAACACACACTCTGGGTCCCCCCCCAAGGCTTGCCTCTTGCCAACCTGTGCCTAATACTCTCCCGAATTAGGTAAGTAGGATGCATCCCTCCAGGGAGAGAGTGCGCAGTCCATTCTGACAATCTATCTCTGGGATTTCCATGTGTAGGTGGGACGCAAGGAATTCTCAGGTTGGTTTGGAGACTCTTAAGCCCGATGGAGGGTTTCTGCATTTGAAAAAAATGATTTGAGGTAAAAAAAATAGGTGTCTGGGAAATCTGGCTTGAGCGTTTAAGGCTTACAGTGGCCACCAAACAGTCACTACACTTGCTAGCACTTGGGTGTGAGAGTTTCCACATTACAGACACTGAGAATTAAATACAAGTTACTATCATTATTCTAACCAAGTCTTTCCCAAACCACTTCACTTCACGGTGAAAGATCCGGTTGATCTCTTCACCCAATCCCTTACGTTAATTATATAGAGCGACATAACAATACTTTCATTTGACATAGCGCCCGAGACCTCGTCGAGACGTCTCACAGCGCTTCGCAGGATATACTCTAAAGTGTAGTGACTGCGTATATTGTATGCGCGAAACGCGGGGACGCCAATTGCGCGCAGCAGCGTCGCCGCAAACAGTGATGGATTGAGTGACCAGATTTGGTTTTAATTAGCAATATTTACGCCTTATATCCCGCTTTCCCGTCACAAGTCCCCGCACACCGCTTGGCATTTCCGCACACAGGAGAGTAAATGGTTGAGAGCTGCGCCTCTCTCCACCCTCAGAGCGCACACATTTTAAATAACGCCTTTCCCCGGACCATGTACTGGCGGAAAATTAAATATTTGTCATCTCGTTTACAGCAACACCCCCCCGCACCCCCCCCCCCCCCCAACCCACCACCACCACCATCCCCATCCCTCTCCTCGATACACACACGACCCTTCCTTGTGTCCCTCTGACATTTTTCTTTCATAAAAGATTTATGAACTGGTTCTGGGCTATTCTCTCCCTCTCCTGCCCGAGGTAACAACCTTTCCGCTTTAAAAGGGGGCAAAAGGGTTGGGTGATTTTCTCTCTCTCTCTCTCTCTCTCTCTCTCTCTCTCTCTCTCTCTCTGTTAAATCACACGATTCTCTCTCTCTCTCATGTACTCTCCCCTGAAAGATTAAGAACGTGAGACGAGTCCCTGCGGGTCGTTTGATTGATTACATCATCTTAAGGTCGCTTCCACTGCCCGGGTAATTTTCTCTCGCCCTCGGGCTCTCTATTCCTGCATTCTTTATTGAACACTTTGGAGACGTGTTGTTCCGTTGTTTTTAGTCCTATGGATTAATGACTTCAACGCAATGAAGTGAAGCTGGATTCGCAATGGCTGGACACGATCTTAAAGAGTGAAAGAGTGAAAGCTTGTTCACCAAACCCCCCTCCCTCACCCCCACCCCATACACACACACACACACACGCCCTCTCTCTTCCTCTCCCCCCCACCCCATCCCCCTTCCCATTGCCCCTAATTCTGATCTATTTCACACGCGCCTGCCCCCAAACCCCAATACCCGGTGTGTGTGTGTGTGGGGGGGGGGGGGGGGGCGGGGGGAGAGGGGATATTATATCTATTAAATAGTGCAATGGTTTAGCTCACGAAATATACAGGCAATTCATTTTGCGGTATATTCTGTGAAGCGCTTTGAGACGTCTCGAAGACGCGATGCGGCGCTATATCCGATGCTAAGGATTGTTATTATTATTATTCACTGAACGGAAGAGGTTTAACCCGTCTGCTAAAATGCACCTTTCGATATTAGGCGGATGGGCGCAATCTTTACCCACGTTACAGTAACATCGTTGTCTTGGTTGCAATGAGAGCATTCATTTTTTTTAAAAAAAAGCATAAGGGCAAATGATGCACCTGGGTCAAGGTGTAGACCCCGAGCTGGGAAATAAATATGTCCCTCTTAAACAAGCAGCGTTACTTTCTATTCCCCCCCCCCCCCCAACTTGGGAAGAGATGGGCCCTCAAATAAAATGCTTTTTTTTCATCTCAGTTGCAACGTAAGACGTTCCAAACAGAAATCTGGATTGAGTTCAATTCAAAACGGAAGAAGCAACAAACGCCTCCCCCGCCCCCCCCCCCCCCCCCCCCACCTCCCCCAGAAAACACACACACACATAGTGGTATAACAGACAAGTCTGATTAACTTGCCAACCCGATTTGTGAGCATCTTTGCAAGGGGTTCGCTCAACACACCCGTTGGGTTCAACGCGCCATCAGTTTGTTTTCAGTCCATGGGTTTAAGGGGTGGGGGGGGGGGGGGGAGAGAGAGAGGGGGGGGGGGGCGCATCTCAATCTGTGTGGGTGACAACGATTTTAAATTAACTCAATCCTCTTGAAACAGTTACACAGGTTTAAATGGATGCTGGGGTTGCTTGGGGAGGGGGGAAATCGCTTGAAATACCGCATTAACAATAATAATCTTATTTTACGACCCCACCACCCACCCCCTTCCCGTCCCCTTCACTTCTTTTCGAAGCAAGTTTAAATGTGATCTTTGTCAAGAATAGTGATTTGGGGGGGGAGGGGGCATTAAAACGGACTACTCTGGTGTTTTTTTTCACAGAGGAGAGAGGAAGAGAGAGAGAGAGGTGATTGGCAACGGACACAGAGTTTTTGTATAGGCGAACAACCACATCCCTCTTGGATAATTATTTTATTTCTGTTGAGGGAACTAACGACTGACTTGCAGGTCTGCGGGGTGGGGGGGGTGGGGGATGGGGGGGTGGGTGGGGGTAGGGGGGGTGGTGGAGTGGCGAGGAGATAGGGCGAGCAACGGAGGTGTTGAATGCCTTAAGATCTTAGCCATGGGGCTGGGATGTTGGCAGTAAAACAACAAGACTTCCTTTGAGACGCTTTGAGCACATGAACGTAAAAACACAAAATCGTGATAAATTGGCCCAAGGTGATAGATACACCGAGTCCCGAGCTTGACATGAAAGAAACGGGGCGAGTCTTATGGTTTGTGTTTTCATTCCGATTCGGTGTTTACAGCCATAGGGGGCGATACCTTTTCACGAGTGACTTCGGACACTCAGCAGTCGGTGTCCCAATGGTGACACACGAGTTGTCAAGTTCCCAAGAATCGGTAAAGCGGTACTAGTACCGCACCAGTTGGGGAGACATTGACTAACATCACCAGCGATTGCCCGCAACTCACAACTGCAAAGACAGGTTTGTAAATAAATACACAGAATTCGGCCCCCACACTGCAGCCAATCTGACATTAATTTAAAAAAAATACTATAGATTATAGATAGATATATAGGTGATCGCATGGGACAGCACTCTCACAGCACTAATCTCATACTTACCCAGAGCTGTGCTGTTTTGCAGCAAATCTGATTTATTCTCTAACTCGGATGTAATTCGCTCTAAAATCCCTGGCGAGGAAAAAAAAAAGGACATTGAAAGCGATGCAACTCATGGTCAGACGCTCACTTCTGTATCACACCACAAGAAGTAACGTTGCATTTTTTTTTGAAACAACGACCTATAAGATCGAAATAATTCTTAGGGTTCCACGTCTGTCATTGTAAGCAATTGGGCTGCACTGGACCTGGTATTTTGCGAGCAAGAAAATACAGTTCTAGAAGCCAGACTGGTATAAGTTTATCGACGAAACGTGAAAACATGTGCTTTTCTTGCCCTGAAATGTGTTCCCCAACTAAATTTACTCGCCCTTCCTTCGGTGGAAAGTAAGGAGATGTATGTTGTGTGTGTGTATGTGTGGGTGGGTGGGTATGAAGGGGGATGGGGGCCGAGGTGAGGAAATAAAACTGTATTGTTTGAGCTAAATTAGTCCAGGTCGTTGATGCACAAAGACGTTTAATAATGTATTATTAATAATTGAATGGGATTTTTAAATTGGTATGGCTGGATTACCGTTCTGTCACTGGATCCTTTTAGTGTGTGTGTATATTATATATATATATATATTTATTTAAACTACTTGCAGGATAGACTCTGTGCAGAAATGCAGTCCTTGCAAAAACAGTGTTTAAACCACACAATACAAGCTTACGTTTCCTCATCCCGGTGCCCTCCAGCACACACCAAAAAAAAAATGAATTCCTACTCATTATAATTCCACACGCATTATATATATATATATAGTATATAGATTCAATAAAACCATGAAATTATAAACGATGCAAAAATACAACATAAAATTCCCAAGCACCAGTCTCGTCTTCGAGCACAGTGCAGGAAAATCTCACAATGTTAGATTTTGATCAAGAAAATCCAACTGCGTCTTATAGCGTGAAACTGGGTTAGTGAATAAGGGTAGTTTATGGGGAATCGATATACTTGTGTGTGTGTGTGTGTGTGTGTGTGTGTGTGTGTGGAGGGTGGGGGGGTGTTACATAAATTGATGGGTTAATATCGTTTTGCTTCTATAACCATAAAGTCATTAGCTTCCAGGGACCAAAACATAACAGGTCTGAGGCGAGCAGTGGGAAAGGCTGCGGTCACACCGGGCAGAACCGGCCGTAACATTGACACGAACAGTGGCCACCTGCTGGGTCCCCATCGCCCCCTATTCGATCCGCCTGATCCCAAGTCATCCCGAACACGGGATCTGTACCTCGGAGTCTCGGCGACAGAGAGCGCGCATCTCTGGGTTTGCTTTCCTGCACCATCACAGCCTCCCTGCAACCGGCTCAGGGGCTTTGACTGGGGCTTTGCTGTTTATGTTTTGCCCCCGGGTGTGTTAGACACCAGATTCAGCTCGTTTTCTCTCGCCCCCACTCTCTCCCACCCCCCTCTCTCTCTCCCCCCCCCCCCCCCCCCCCCCTCTCTCTCTCTCTAGCCCCAAGCTGTGTATCCTGATTGGGACTAGCGGTCAGAATTCTCATTTACCGCAACCATAAAGGTCCTGAACCCAATTAATAACTAATAATTACACTCGAAAGCTCCCCCACCTTCCCCTCCCACATCATTAGCCAAAGAACCGGATATAGGAAAGATACTGTGGGATACTCACAACCCTACAAGAGTCTGCCCACGGTCGTTATGGGTTGCTGTTTCTCTCCCCCCCACACACCCCCAAAGAAAAAAATCCTGTAACTCCTTAACCTTTTTACTGAAGTAGTTTAGACTTATTTCCCAATACGAGTTAGAAAGCTCACAAGTGTGTGGTGTGTGTAATAAAAATAAGTTATTTCGCATTTGGGTTCTTTGAATGTTGGTGCTTTAGGTATTAATTCGGAGGGTATAGTGACCAACAACAGCAACTATCGTCTGTATAGCGCCCCCCACGCAGACTAGCGTCCCAGACCACCAGACCATTAACGACCACTTAAAATCTCCCCACTGTACCCCATCTGAGTTTCTGTTACAGGACTCGGCCTAATTCCGACCCTGTGGATGTCCCTCCACGATTAACTTTAGATGAATCAACAAGCACTGGGACGTTTACCCCTGTGTTAAATTCCCTGCAAAGTCTTGCAGAGATGGACTGGACCCTCATAGGATTGCGCAACCCCACAGTACAGAAGGAGGCCATTCGACCTATCGTGCCTGTGCCGGCTCTTCGAGAGAGCTGTCCAATTAACCCCTCTTCCCCCATGGTTCGAGCACAACTGGCTCGAACCTGTACCAGAACCTCACGGCCGAGGGTCGCTGACCTTTGAGCAGTGGCGTGGGGAAAGCTCGGGGACGATTTATAAAACACGCCCGGAATCCCACTCAACCACTCCTTTGAGAGAGGATCCAAACCCAACTGAAGTTTCCCCGCATCTCTCCCAGTTTGGGCACATGAGGTTTGGAATCACATCGATGTACCTTACAGTTCATGGTGATGTCTGGAATGTATTATGTGTGTGTGTGTGTGTGTGTGTGTATATATGTATACACACACAGTACATATGAGTTTCATAGCAATGATGATGCTGAGGGTCTAACCTGAGACACCTTAGGGAGTGACTGAGGGGTGGGCAGTGGGTGAGAAAGAGATAGAGAGAGAGGTGTGTGTGTGAGAGAGAGATTGAGAGGGATGTGTGACAGCGAGTGGTGTGTGTATGTGTGAGAGAGAGAGAGAGAGAGAGAGAGAAAAGTGTGTATGAGAGAGAGAGAGAGAAAAAGAACGAGAGATGTCTGGAGAACAGATCTGGGACGATTCCTGGGTGAACGTTACCTGCAGTCACTTGTTTTGGAAAGTATTAACTTGAGACCCTGTTTGCAAAGCTTACTTTTCAAATATTTTAAGCGTAACGTTTATGTTAAAGCGGATTTTTTTTCACAACACCGGAAAAAAAATCAGAATTGTGCGTGGATTTGCGTTTGCCTCTGGATGCACTGTAGATGTACTGTTTCACACCCGACCGAAAAAAAATACCGATTTTTATTTATATCTGCCGATATAGTTACATCAGAAATAAACTGGACGATGCAAATATCGGTCTGTGAATGAATGTCGGGGGGAGGGCGTTTAATTTTGAATTTATTTCCGGAAAACCTGCAAATTGTGTAAAATCCCGTGTATAAAAAAATATGTGTGCACCTCTGAAACGGATCGACAGCATTCATCCCACAATCACATTCATGAATAGCTGGTTAAACGGATTAATTGCATGTAATTAACCTGTGGGAGTTTAATAAGGATTCCTGGAATGTCAGACTCGCTTTCTAATTAATAATCCTATTCCCTATTAGTAACTGCAACACTAACTCTGGTTTAAGAGCTGTAATCTGCCTTACACCGTGGCTCTCTCTATACCCATCATCAGCCCGGGCAGGTCTTGGCTGTTTGAGTCGTATAAATGGGAGGTTTGATTTGAGACCCAACAGGCTAGTGATGAAGTCTAGTTCTGGTGACATATCCTTACTAGAGAGAGTGACTGGAATCCAGTTGGATTTGCATTGGGGTCAGCAAACTGGAGGTGAGTGTTTGTCACACACAAACTCCCCCTTCCACACCCCCACACCCCCCTACACCCCCCCACCCCCCCCCAAGAAAAAGGTTTACCTGCGTGCACACTCTGTCTCACTCTGTGTGTCTCTCTCGCTCCTCTCTGTCTCCGATCTGTAACGTGCAACCGCACGCACAACAGTATGGATAAAAGAGAAGGGGAGAGAGAGAGAGAGAGAAAAAAAAACACAATAAATGTTTACATCAATATTACGGGCAGTGACCACGAAGGTCATATGACACGCAGACTTTTTTTTTTGGTGTGTGTATAATTACAGTCCCGGGTTATGCACAGACTGCCCATTATGCAATGCTTTATACGAGGCATTAGGAGATTCGTAGAAGTCAAAAAGCGGGGTTTAGCTGATAGAAATTTCGTGCAGTTGGCAAATCAGTTTCGTACAGATTTCTGGAGGGATTTCGGATCACAGCACAGACCGAAAATATGGAAGATTTAAATCCAAGTGTGTTTATTTGTGAAACGGATGGCGATTTATTTATTTTGTATTATCTGCATTGATGATCGAGTGTATGTGTGTGTGTGTAGATATATTTAGTAATTCCTTTATCTCAGGGCACAGGAGTTATTTTTCTCATACGATTACGAGTTAGCAGAGACACAAGCTGAGTGAGGGCAAGGTGATGGGCCTGACCTGTTTCACTTAAAATTTGTTTGGGAAACTTATAGGAATTAAGCTATGTTTGGTGGTTGTTTCGTTTTAAGCAACCTCCCACCCCCCCCCCCCCCACAAAAAAAACTGTACCTATAGGAAAGGTGTAGCGTGGAATGGGAGTTGAGGTGGGAGATAGATTGGGGGGAAAAAATGCTGTGGGCAATATTTGTTAGTGTACAAGTCTGATGTGGAGTGCAGCAATCATACACACTGAGAGAGAAAGAGAGAGAAAAGGAGGGGGGGGGGGGAGAGAGAGAAGGGGGAAAGGTAACGAAATAATCCCTCAGAATATTTCCTTCCTTACAGAATTCTGACACATATTTTCATTAATCCTTACTTAGACTTTCTGCTCAGGTCTGTGTTCATCCAAGCAATCGTTACGACCCACACATTCGCCCCCTCTAACAATCACTGCAGTCGAGTAGCCCATTTATTTGGACTTGACCTTAGTTAAAGCAAATACACTTGTGGTTAGTAATAAGTATAAGTTAACTACACACCCCCCCCCCCCCGCACCACCACCCCGCCCCCGACAAATACACATAAAAACGCGATGGTGTTTCACAGTGGCCAAGTGATTACAATAATAATTACAATATCGTTGATAATAGAAAATTGTAGTTTTTGCTGCAGTTTTTGCAGGCGAATTAAATTTAAAAAACAAGCATTTTTGAAGGGCCGGGGTGGGGGGGGGGTGTGGTTGATTTATTCAGCGATTGACCCCCCCCCCCAAAAAAAAAATGATTTGAATTAAATAATATCAACACAGGTAGAGGTGTTTTTTGGATCTGTTCTAAGAGGTAAATGTCACCAAACAAGAGTTTTTTTTTTGATGGGGAGGGCGATGTTTGCGCATTGAGTTGAATGGTTCTATCGAGTCCTGTACTGCAATCGCGCGAGTGTACTGTGTATTTTAAAAATAAATCTTATTAATTAATTGACAACCTTTTGAATTAAACTTGCTCTCCCAGTTATGGTGGGGAGGGGCATTTTATTGGCGGTGTGTGAGTTTGGACAGAGCAGGGGTGAGATTATTTGGAGGGTCTGTTTGGTTTCAACAAATAAAAGGAGAGTTAAATCAATATTTGTCTTGAAATAAAATGGCTTGGTTTCCAGGTATGGGTTTTTTTTTAAAAAAAATTTGACCATCACTTAGGAAATTCCGTAGAGTTTCCAGAGAATGAGATTTCGCGTTTCAGTGAGATTTAGAATCACTGTTTTGCTTCTTATTTTTATGTGTCTGACAGTCTCTGTTCGTTCTCCCCTCCAGGTTTTAGTGAAACTGTGGCTTATGCCTTTAGAAGTGTGCGTTAAACGCGTCCCCGCAGACTCAAGACTGTATATACAATAAATTTACGCCATGCATTACAAATATAACAACCCCCCCCCCCCCACACACACACACACACACACACCACCACCTCACCCGGTATTTAAACCACTGGCAAAAGCATAACTCACTCAAAAGAGGCGAGAACCGAAGACAGACAGACTATCAGCCACTGCCATTACCCCCTTCACAACAATCACTTTAACAGTATACATACAGCCCCGATATAGCGCCCCCCCCCCCCCCAACACACACACACACATACACACACATTTACGCACAACAACCCAAATAACGCCCTGTATTCCTCGCAATTTGCTGGGGTGCAATTTTTTTGGGGAAAAAAAAAACCCCAAAACAAAGCGATCCCGGATCGAGGAACTCTGAGCCGAGAGAGTTAGTTGGAAGTGGGAAGTGAAACGAAACGATTTTGCTCTCAGAACCGGGGGGAGGGGGGGGGGGGGGGCTTCTCGCTCTGCGTGGGACAGCAGTTTTGCGTGACGGACAGCGGAATCCAGCTCATGTCCAGAATCTATACGGTCCCTGCACTTTCCACGGGTTTTGTTTCAGTTATGGACGTGGCTCGTTCGCTATCGATCTCTCTCCTCTCCCTCTCCTTCTCCTCTCTTTCTCTCTCTGTCCACCCCACCGTCCCGAAATTCAATCGCATTCAACCTGACAATTTAATAGCAACGAGGATAGGAGGACCAGGAGGTTTAAACTCACTGAAGTCGGGATATATACACACACACACACACCGAGAACAAGACACACGGGGTAGTGAGTGCAGATAGAGAGAGGAGATACACATATAGGTTTAAGGGTTCCAATGACCACACACACACACATATATATATATATATATATAGTATCTAACGCTGTGTCAAGAATTCAGTTCGACCAACCTGCTGTTTTGGGGGTTCTCTTTCTCCCTCCACCCTCTCTTTCTCCCTCCACCCCCTCTCTCTCTCTCTCTCTCGCAAGAAAAAAATACTTGTATCTCTCTTTTTTGTGTAACCTGCAAACTGACTCCATAACACAGTTCAACCGCAAACTCGGTCTGGGTTTAAAATAAACAACAATAACGACATCAATGGGAATATGGTACACTTACTGTTCTTTAAACCCAGCTGCTTGTGCTCTCTGGTCTCTCTCCTTCCTTCCTTCCTTCCCCCCCTCTCTCTCTCTCTCTCGCTCTCGCTCTCTCTGCCTCGCTCTCTCTCTCTCTCTCTCTCCCAGAACACAAGACCCACTCATTATTTTTTAAAAAGCAGAAGTTTTTTTTTTGAGAGGTGTCGGTGTATGGAAAAAAAAACAGCTTAGAATATTTTCACAAGAATTAATATCTTCATTAGAATAACTTATAACATATTATAATGCAAAACACTGTGTGTGTGTGTGTGTGTGCGCGCGTGTTTTTTGGGGGGAGGGGGGGTGTGTAGTTGAGTTTTCTATTGAAGAACGGGGAGGTAGGGGATAAAAATACCTGTTTAAATGTCCAATTTCTGAACGTCTGTACTGATAGCACAGAGCAGCCCCCCCCCACACTCCTACAGAAACCAAACCACATTCATTAAATTCCGCAACGCAGACACCTCGGACTGTTAAATCAACCTCATCACCATCCGCCCAAATGTATCGATAGCTTTAATTAATACTGTCACAATTGATGAGGGCTGATTAGCATATATCATTGGATTGCAACCACCTTTTATTGTCAATCAGCTTCTGCACCCATTAGCAGCTGTGACTGAAACAAAAGTATTCACGAGGGGGGGAATTGGGTTGCGTGAGGGAGGGGGGTTTGGGGGTGGCAAAAAAACAGACAAGGTGGCTAATTATCTATTAGGATAATAATTAATTCAACTTTTTGTTTTCACTCACCCCCAAACCCCCC